TTTCAGAATACATGGCCCCTTCAAGCATACTCCTAGTTTTACCTCTTCAGGCTGCAGTTGCTACCATGTCCACACCAAAGGAGGTACAGGAACTGTTTGTGGAATTGCAGGAAGCGGTAGGGTCAAGCCAGGATAATACATCCCTGCCTCCATCTGCTGCACCTCAGAGCTCTGCAGACGTAGTCAGATTTCAGTCCAGACAGTAACTATCTCAACAGCAAACACTAACCACTCACATGTCAAGTGCTCATGCATAATGCCTAAAAGCATTTTAAATCAGAGCATGACCATAAATACAAGTTTCAGCCATTTTTAACCTGCATGTAGTAGATTTAACATCCTGATCTTTGCTGGAAAGTACACTCCTGGTAAGAAAACTTTCACCTTTGCATTTCCAAACTGCAAGAATACATTAAAGGTCAGGCCCTGCCTCTTCACACCTTCACCCACAGAGGACATGGATATAGAGAAGCTCAAAGAAAGACAGGGAAAGCCCAAGCAATTGAAAACATTGCAACAAAGTTTAAGGAAATACATTAGCAGTAAGCAATCCCCAAACTACCAAGAACACCACCTTTAACATCTGTACCACAGTTTTTCATGACCACAACCAACAGCTTCAGTGATGTAACAGAACTGTACAGCCTTTGTTATTTGTTTACTGAAAAAAATCCTGAGCTGCCACATTTCAATAGTCTCAACTGGCAGAAGAGGATTAAAACTAAACCAGCAAGGAAACAGTGCGGCCTATTGAAAATTAGTGCTATTAGCACTGGACACACAGCCTGCCCTCTGGATGGCTTAGGACCAGATGTGTAGCAAGCTGACCCCTCAGCTGTTCATTTGGTAATTAAAATGAATTTGCACCTGTGATACAAAATTAACTCAGGAACCAGAAGCCTCCCAGTTAAGTGCATTTGTTGCTTTGCACACAAAGGAACACTGTCAGGAGGCAACTAGTTTTCAAAGCTGTTAGTTTGGGAAGTGCTGAATAACTTCTGGCATCAACTCCCCAGCACCTGGTGCATCTTTTCAAACAAGCAAGTGCTCCCCTTAGAAGGTAACAGTGCCCAAAGCTTCACCAGTGGGCAGACAGACTGCAGGGTGGACTGACAGGTCAGAACATTTAACAAACTTGTACTATAAATGTGTTTTATGTTCTTTTGTACAGTACCAAGCATCACAAAGTTGTCAGGAATTCAACAAAAGTAAGAATCCTTATGTTTCTATTTAGCTGCTTTGTCATTATGTCACATCCACAGAAGCAAAGCAGAAACACATCAGTGAAAATCAGGGAGACTGTGCCAAGGATGTGACTAACCCTTTCACAACCAATTTTGGCATTTTCAGCAGCAGTTGTGCAAATACTCAAACTGCTTTTCAGAAACTTCTTAGCCTTCTGGGTTAAGTCACCCACGCTCTACTGTACAGCTACCTACAAATACTGAAGACACACTCAGAGATTAAAAACTCAAGAAAGTGAGCATTTAAGCAGCCTTGTGACCCAATCCATAACTGTGGCACTAACTCTACCATTCTGTTGAGCACATTCCAGTTCTCAGCACCTGGAACAGTATGTGCACCTCGGGTTGCAGTGATAGTCACAAGATGGTTTAAGTGTTTTTGGAAAACAGTTTATTTGGGAATTACATAATATTTTCAATTTTCCAAAATACATCTTACTAGATCCCTACAAAAGAAATCTAAGTAAGTACAACAATATGAAATTAAGTTTGTTGCAACAGTCATTAAATATTTACTTCCACTAATATATACATACAAAATGCCACACAATGAGCTTGTTTACCCTTGGAATGTGTGCTGTGTTCCAGCAGTTACGCTCCATCTCCTCCAGTTCCACAACATGAAGACTCAATATTAACACTCTGTACATCCTTTATTATAGGCAAAAATCAAGTTTCTTGTTGTTGGTTTTTTTAATAGAAATTAAAAGTAATAACTCTGCCATTTCACAGCTGTGGTAGTTTGTCTACTGGGGTATCAAACTTGAAGTCTGCTGGGAAGAGATCTGGAGCTCGAGGATAGATCAGCCTGTATGATTGCCTAATAGTAACATCAGCCACACCAGCAATATCACCAATTTCTAAGACAAAAAGCAGACAAGTGATTAGTTTTCACTCTTCCCATTTTAAGAAACCAGCAAGCATAAGGTATAAAGAATTGCTATACACTTAGCTTAATTTGTAACTCTCCTAAAAACCCAGAAAAAGTGGTTTTAGCCACTGTGACTAATACTTTTCATGTCAGTCTGTCTTCTCACATGCTATAACTCAACTTGCCCTATCAGTCACAGAACAGTATCAGTTTCAAATTGTCAGA